ATTGCATCTGCTTGGGTTTTTATTTATTTATTGGAATGTTTATTGTATTTTATTAGATGTAATTCTGCTTGGACACCCTAAGTAACACAAAAGTATCTATAATGAAGGATTAATAAAAGACAAAAACCACCCAACAGCTTTATGCTCAACACAGAAAAATGTCATGATGCATCCATTTAAAAGACCCCATGATACAGCCAATCAGATTAAATCAGCTTTGGTTTTCACTATTTTTACTTACTTAGGTTTTAATAACTCAGTGAAAGGGGGATGATTTTATAGGGCAATATAAAGATTGCTTATTCCAAGTAATTGTTAATGGTTGCGAAATAAACAAATATTGAAAAGAATTTTCCCACCTGCCAAGGAATATCTGCCTGCTGCACAGTTTTAGAAGCACAATATTTCATTGCAGTAGCAACCTATTTTGAAAAAAGAATATGTACTTCCAAATTCCAGCTACTCACATGAAAAATATAGGATATGGACAATGACATTCAAAGGAAAACAAGTTGGAAGGTATCTTGTTTACAATGTATTTGGACTGTAATTCATTCCACCCTTATTTTTCAGACTTTGTGTCCTGAAGATGAATTTATAATCCCACAACAATGATGTATCATAAATAAATAGATGAAACAATCCAGCAATGACAAATGTGATTATCAATCAGACACAGGAAGATAGTGAGGGTCAAGCAGCAACCATGCAGGCATAGAGCTGCTAATTGGTCAATTACATTTGTTTATAGCCAACCAGTAGCTATTAATTAGGCATTGCTGGTTTCACTCTTCATGGGCTTATCCTCATTGCCTTGTTGCCAGAACAGACCCACCATCATTATTTAAGATAGGAACAGATGGTGTTACCCTCTATTTACCCTCTACTCACCATGAATGCAACGTTCAGCATGCTTCCCTGTTACACTTTTAAAGTACTCTTTTCCCACTAGGTCACCTCAGATGCTTCTATCTATATGGCTAGAGCAGTATACTCCCTTGCAAGCTAACTACAGCAACTCATTGGCTACTTCACAGAGGTAGTAACATCCCCTCAATTGAGTCAATACTGTAGTTCAAGGGTGTCAAACTGGTGGCCCATAGGACAGAAGCATCACATACAGGCCATACTCACTCCAGCTCTGCAAAGGGGAAAATGTTGTGATACGTCACGTAACGGCAACGTGACGCTGCAAGTTGGACATCCGTGCTGTAGTTGTAGTTGTAGTCTTACATTTCCTGGTTAATTTTCCTATTACAGAAGTGCAATTAGCACATAGAATGTTGCAGTTTAAAACTCAGCAGATTTTTTTTTAAAGTCATATTTGTCTTCCTCTGAACCACCTAGCTTTCCCTCTGGGCTTTAAAAAAATGGAAAAATTCAGCAATGAACCATTTCATTGTTTCTTCTGACCCTTGAAGTTAAAATATTTTACAACTTGGGAAACAATGAAGCAAATGCCCATAGAAATATTTTAAGCATAAATAAACATTAAGTATGCAGTGAGAAGGTGGGGACTTTTTATGAACTAATTTGGAAAGCATTAGTGAGACCTCTGCTTAGATACTTAACTAATTTAGGGTATGCACTCTAAAAAGCTGGTACAAGCTGATCTATGATTTCTGGTAGTGTATTGAAGGCATGATAAGATACGGGGAACAAATCTCAGTATCTTAAGAGATCATGGTAAAGCAACATTACTAGGCACAGGAAAAAAGACCCTCTGAGTACATCCTCATTCCTTCTGTGAAAATCTCTGCAACATAATTTTCATGATTATTTTTCAATAAAAATGACCCTATGAAAAATAACCCTATGAGCAAACCCAGTTTGTTCGTTGGGCTGTTTTTAGTCCTCTGGAGCCTTCAAGTCCCCTGAAGGCTCCGGAGGGCTTAAACCAGCCATACGAGCAAACCAGAAGTGACTTCCGGTTTGCTCATATGGTTGTTTTTTGTCCTCTGGAGCCTTCAGGGAAGCCTCTGGAAGGCCCCTGAAGATTCCAGAAGACTTAAACCGGCCCTATGAGCAAACTGGAAGTCCGTTCCTGAACTTCTGTTTTGCCTGTAGGGACAGTTTTTTGCACTCTGGGGGCTTCAGGGAAGCTCCTGAAGCCACCGGAGGGCCTTCAGGGGGCAGGGGAGGCTGTTTTCGCCCTCCCCAGGCTCCTATAAAGCCTCTGGAGCCTGGGGAGGGTGAAAAATGGCCTCAAAAAAAGGCTAAAGTCAGCTGGCCAGTGCACGTATGTGTGCTGGCCAGCTGACAGAGCAATGCCTCACGTGCCCTGACAAATGTCTCCATGTGCCATAGGTTCGCCATCCCGGGTCTAGTCTTTGCTCCCTACTCTCTAATTATTTATCCTAGCTTTACGGTCAATGAATTTTTCGTATGTTTACATTTCAATTCCTTTTTAATGCTTTACATATATTTGCACTAGAAAATGGCTTAAAGAAATAAATATTAGATAACTTTCCCATGGAATGTAGCCTCCACTCTACTGCCTTTATTTATTTTATTATTTATTAGTCTAATTTATATAACCACCATTTCACCAAAAGCAATTCTGGGAGGCACAAAATAATCAAATAAAACAATAACAGTATAAAATATAAAAAGTCATATTAATAAATATCATAAAAACCAAAGAGCTATGTTCGTTCAGAGCTTAACGGTCTACATGCATACATTCTTCCTTCTTCATTGTTTTACTTATTTCTTGCCCTGATTTTTATCTTTATTTTAAGGATATTTGTCTGAAATTGTTTGGCTATATCACGGGTGTCAAACTTGCCACGTCATGTTGCCGTCATGTGATGTTTTGTGACAATTTCCCCATTCGCAGAGCTGGGGTGGGAGTGGCCTGCACGTGACGCATCCAGCCGCAGGCTGCCAGTTTGACACCCCCTGGTCTATATAAAGGCATATATCGATGCAAAATTATAACTGTTTTACATTCTAAATCTGAGAGTGCATTTCTTGGCCATAATAAAATATATACCATGAAATTACACACCTCTTACAATTACCAATTAACTAGCTATGCCAGTCTGCTGCAAGAAAAACAGCAAAGAAACTTCCAGCACTTTCACAAGTAAATTTATTGTGTGTTCACTGTTCTGGACTACAGAAAGTTTATGTCATAATGAAATTAGTCTTTATAGCACTACAAGATTTTTTGCTGATTGTGAAATTAATATTTATACATTAGATTAGCATAGCAGTGTTATTTTCATTATCATGCTACATACACCTACTTCATTCTATCAAAACAATTTATGTTTTTTTTCCTCCTGAAAAATGCTGGCAGGCATGTAATTTCAATTCTATCTTCCTTTGGACCTCATTCCCTGTGAGTATTTATAATCAGATTCAATAGGCAACACGCTGTATTACAGAAAATCATTTACATTAATGGGGACAGATACGGAAAACATAAATCTTAGAGTCCTCAAACAAATTATCTCTTATAGAGCAAAGTGAAATGCAGACTGAATAAAGGAAAAGTTTCCTTATGTTTCTCTAATTGAGGTGGAAATATTTGACTTCTAGGTGTACAATTGGACAATTTGTATATTTAATCTGAAAAGTCTCTAAAGCTGTTTTAAAGTGCAGTGATAACATAAAAACTCTCTAGCAAACAACTTAGGTTTTCCTTTTATTCAGTCTGAATCACCACCCAAGAACTTGAGCTCTATGTCTTTCCCCAAAGTCAGAAAACTATAGCTATTACAAATAAAAGCCATTGATAACTACAAAGCTGTGTTTTACCTCCATTGAGATCACCAATGCTGCCATTTCAATTACTATAGGAGGATTTCATCTTTTAAAATAAAAGTTTTTTCCTGTTTGCATATGCCACCATTCTAATTGTTTTTTTAATCCCACTATTCTCATCATCATGAAATTAAGAAATTCCTTCACCCCAAATCCAAAGTTTTTGAGACAAAATATTTTCTGCTTGATGCTCAGTCACTTTGCAGACTGTTGAAACATGGGTTTATATCTTACATTTATGCTTAACAGGAAAGGATACACAGTACTGTCTCTCTCTTATGACCAAGAGAGAGAGTTGGCATTACCTACTTCTATGGGTCTACAGATCTGCCACTTCTTTATACAAAAAAATCATGCAATTACTTAGAATTACCATTGCCTGATGGCCAATCTCAAGAGGGCAACATTAGTTCTGCTAATGGGAAATGGGATACTATGCTATATCATCATTCATACCACAATAGGTAATTGTATTGTACCACAATACAATAGATAATTGTAAGAACTGATACCCTACTTAATGAAGAGATTAGTCTCTACAGTTGAAATAACAGAATAACACTAATTAATTTGGAAGGATTAATATAATAAAGGGGGCAAACATTATATTAGAATGCAAACAAGGGAGTTTACCAAATCTTTCTGCAGTACACTTATATTCATATGTTCATAGCACGCCATGATTTAGATTACATAGATTCAGATCTATGATATGTAAATTATCAGTCCCCTGGCCATCAAAGGAATTTAGATTATCTGTAATATCTTCTAGTTTTGAAAGTCATGTTTTTTCTCCTCTAATCAATTCAGTCAGCTCTGCATTGATAGCATTCTTGTAATTCATATATTCATATCTTTTAAATTAAACATTATATGAAGATAATCTGGGATATTTTCTTTAAAAAAAATAAAGCATCCTCAAAATCTATGAGCAATAGCTTCCCAGTAGCTTTATAAAACTTGGAAAAATCAAGAGCTTTAAAGTTGTCTCTAGATAATTTTCAAATCAGTAGCATATTTTCTCTTGCTCTAATTCTATCTGCCTGTCTATCTATGGTATAATTTTGTGAATTGTTGCATTGGTAAATGAATAGTAAAAAATAATATTTGCTGAATTGATATAAACTCCAACCTATGGCATCCATAATGGAAACCTTGACATCACTATTTTCTAGGACCATAATGGAAAACAGCCCTTAGGATTTACAGTGCAATAACCTATAATTTACCTTGTCTGCCATGATCATAGAAGAGCCTCCATGGATTCCTAGAATGGGTGTTAGGGTCTGGGCAGAAATGAAGTCCAGGATCTGGGCAATAGCTTCCTGGTCAGTATCATCAGCAAACACCACACCTTGCACCCTCCGTTCAGACATGATATCGCAGATGCGGGTGATGATGCTCTTGGGATCTGTTTCATTCATGGCAACGAGTTCCACCCGAGGTATGAGAGAGAGGTGATGGAAATCATCCTTCTTGTGGGCATCTGTAATAGCTACTTCATCAGAGGTACCCACCAAGACGACAGCAATGCCAATGCTGGGATGGTTCTTTTGAGCCCAAGCCATACTGCCTGTTGTTGCTAAGACTGCCAGCATAAGCCAGAATTTTGAAGAATAGCACTCTGCTCTGGGCCTCATCTTCAGCTCTTACACTCCCTGAAATGAGACAAAAAAACAAAAGTTACAATAATATATATATATATATATAAATCACAGAGATTTAGGCATACCCAGGCATACACTTTTAGCCATGTTACTTATGGAAAGAACCATATTGGCGCGGTGGTTAAAATGCAATATTGCAAGCTAATTCTGCTGACTGTCAGCAGTTTGATCCTGACCAGCTCAAGGTTGCCTCAGCCTTCCATCCTTCCAAGGTTGGTAAAATGAGGACTCAGATTGTCGGGCATTATGATGACTCTGTAAACCACTCAGAGAGGGCTATAAAGCACTATGAAGTGGTTTATAGGTGCTTTGCTATGAAGATACAAATTATTGGTCTATATAACTCTACATTTTTTTTATTTTGATTGACAGAGACTTTCCAAGGTTTCCATGCTCCTTTCCAAGAAGTTTTTTTCTCAGCCCATTGTCTAACATTGATTAATATCGCCAAAACACAGAGCGGGAGGGAGAAATATCTGGTATTCTGATATAACCAAAAGTTATTTCAATAATCATTGAGGAAAAACTTTTTAACTCTACTTTGTGAATAAAAGTATATGGGGGAGGACTAAGGCTCTGATCAGGGACAGAATAATCAAATATGTAGTCACCAACTATTGTTGAGACATTAATGTCCTCTGGTGATTCCTGTGAAATTATTTTAGTTACAGCTCTAGATTATAATTAAATTCATTTTTGCCTTGCCTCCCATTTTTATTCCAAAAAACCCTTGCCAGCAGCTTTCCCTCCCCCAGAATAATTCAAAAAGAAGGTAAGACAGAATCTTGTGGCATACTTTCACAATATATAATTGTAGTGAAAATGTCTCCTGTCAATACTATTTTTTTTAAAAAGAATCCTCTGTTTTCAGAGTCAGTTGTGTTTCTTATTTTCATTTTCAAGAACTGGTACTGGTTGCCTTAGTCTCAAAACGTAGGACTGGTAGACTTTGAGCTAATGGAATAGCCGATATATTCAGATTCATGCCTTGGAAATGTTGTCTTTTTCTAAACAATGAAATGATGAAGATCTATGAGGTCATCGGTGCAACCTTACTAATGCCACAGTCCTCCCTTCAGGACACTTTATCTTGTTTTAATAACTCTGCAAACTCTGCAAACCTTTCCTCTGCAAAGCACTTCCCAAGCCACAGCTAAGTAATCCTCATAGTACCTCAGCAGAATACATATTGTTATCATTGTTTTCCATGTCTGAAAATCATAGCATTGAGGTTTACCATGTAAATTTTGAGACTTCTTTTATCAATTAAAAAAATAGTAGTAACTGGCATGTAATCTGATGCTCAGGCCATATATCCATGTTACTTACTTTGCTAATATGAAATCCTGAAATGATTGGAAAGTAGTACTATTCAAATCTAAAATCTGGCCTAACTCTCCTTCTGTGATGATTTATAATATATCACAAGTGCTCAGATTATCATTAAATTCTAAAAGCTCTTTTCTTTCAATTGCATCAGAAGTTAAGAGCTCAAGGCAACTTGCATAATCTCTTTGATTATAATCCATCCCTAGATTCACCATTAGATTCCACATAAATATCAAGAGCCAGAGGGGGAAATATTACTGACTGCACTGAAGGGAATCCCGTTGCTAATAAAGTTGGTGAGAGGAACCTAATACAGTTTTGTATTTCATTTTGTCTAAATAGAACTAAAAAAGTCGTTGCCCATGCAGTAACATCAGTACTGATATAGTGCCATGATATTAAAATAATCCTAGAGCAAGAGTGTCAAACTTGATTTCATTGAGGGCCGCATCAGTGCTCTGCTTGACTGGAGGGGGGGGCAAGGTAGGCGTGGCCAGGGTGGCCATGGCCAGCTCAACATCACTCGTGTCAGTGGCACCTATGGTGGCCTGAGTACTCTGCCAGCAAAAATGGGCTCCATTTTTGGCTGTAACAGCCTTCTGCAACCCTTTGCCAGAGAAATTTTCACTGGCAGAGACACAGTGGGCCATTTTCGCTGGCAGAGGCACCGTGGGCCAGTCCTTCACTGTTTCCAGGGTGGCCCAGTGGGTCAGATATGCACCCCATGGGCCAGATCCGGCCTCCGGGCCTTGAGTTTGACGCCCTTGTCCTACAGGATGCTGTCACATCATATGCGCCTAGTGGTCCCGATAAAAATATTCTGCACAATCTATCTGTCTTCTCCTACTTAGTGGATTTTCTCTGATGAGATTGGTAGAAAATTATAGAGGAATGGTTTCCAAGTCGAAGACAATGATATATGGATACTTGTAAAATTCCTTGTTATGTTTTACAACAGAAATCCCATCAGCAAACAGTGATCACATTAATGGTACTAAAGTTATACATATGTGTGAAACTCACTCAGTGCATTCAAAAGTTATTGTCAAAATCATTAAGCTATCATTAGACAAATTATCATTCGACAAATGAGTAGCTAGTAAATTGGACAAATAAATAAAAACAAAATCCAAGAAGATAACAGATACTGCTACTACTTTACTATTTCAAACGGATCAAATCTACTTGCCAAACATGAAAGGAAAGAGTGCATGAAATATCTACTGACATCTCCAAACAAGAAGACCTTGAGAATCTGACAAAATTTATTGCTAAATTGAGTAGGGTAGAGCTGTTGTCATCAGATTGGTTGATTGATTGATTATATGCCATCAAGTTATGTCAGCATTTAATTACCACATAGATAGACCTGCTTTGATGATCAGTTCCTAAACTAGCCCTTCAAATCTTACAATTGTGAACCCATTGTTACTGGAATCAAACCAATTTATATATTTCCTTCCATCTTTCTCCATATTGTACACTTATTCAAATAACATCTCTAAATATGATAATTTGAGCCTGATCATTTGTACCTCAAATGAGAACTCTGAATTAATTTGTTCTATGATCCATTTTCTTACTTTTTTGGCCGTGCATTGTATTTTTGGGAGTCTTCTCCAAAACCACAGTTCAAAACATCAATTTTCTATCCTGATTCTTCAAAGACCACTTTTACTTCCATACATGACAGAGAAAAACTATTGGCTGAATAATTCTGATCTTTGTAGATATAGACATGGCACTGCATCTGAATATCTTTTCCAAGTCCTTCATTGCTAACCTACAATTGCTCATCTGTATGCTATTTCTCTGCTGCTTGTTCCTTTACTGTTAGTAATCAGTTGTAGAAGCCATTCACTATTTTAATATCTTCATTGTCTGTTTATTTTTAAATTATTTTATTATTATAATGCATATAGCAGCCATCTTAATCAATACCTCTGAGTGGCTAACAAAAAATACATAAACATAGTATAAAAAATAAAAGGCAACCTATTAAAAAGCATGTCAAGGTACCCTTACAATATCTTTAAAGCATAAACCTGTTAAGCGCCAGGAAAATCAGGAGATCCAGACAGTTCAAATGGGTATAAAGATTTATTGAAGTTTTGTGAGCTGTCTACAAGAATCTGAACTACTAATGGCCACAGGGAAATTAAGAATCTGGACTACTAATGGCCAAGGGAAATTAGCTGGAGATAAGAGTAGAAGGAATTCAAGTGGGCTGACTTAAATTTCTTTTGGACATTGAGGAACTCATGACTGATGATGCATTTGACCCCTGCCTTGGGCGCAACCTGGTCATCTCCTACAAAACCACAAGCTCACATACTGGGCTCCAACACCTAGGAGGAAAATCAAGTTCCAAAAGGCCAGTAAGGTTGGGACCATCCAAATGTCAGAGTGGGGGGGCTGTTTCATAGGGCAGGTACCCCAAAGAGAAGGTATACCCAATTCCTTCACTGGAGCATGCCCGCTCTGCCAGGTCTGGTGGGATGGACCAAAACTACTAGAGACAGGCAATCCTGCAAGTAACCTGCCTCTGCCATCTAGTCCTTTAAAGATAACAACCAGCACAATGAATTACACTCAGAAACCTACTGGAAACCAGAACATACAGCATTGAAGTTATATGGGCACATCATGGTGCATTCAAAACTGCATGTGCCACAGCTTTCTAGACCATTTGAAGCTGCCAAACATTTTTCAAGGACAGCCCCATGTAGAGCACATTACAGTAGTCCAGACAGAAAGTGACTAAGGCACCAGTGACTGAGAACAGTCCTCTCAATCAAGGAATAGGCTCAAGTGGCACCAAATGAATTTGTGCATGTAAAACCGATATGCAAGATAGGAAAGGAATGAGCTATCAGTGTAATGTTATCAGGGTAGCAGAGGACATTGGTATTTCTTCCTTCAGTTTAGAAACCACTCTCGCTTTCTTCCAATTTAGTCTTCCTCAATATAGGTAGGTAGGTAGGTAGGTAGGTAGGTAGGTAGGTAGGTAGGTAGGTAGGTAGGTAGGTAGGTAGGTAG